ATACGTCTATCCGTCGCCTCCTCCGCCACCAACATATGTGTATCCGTCGCCTCCTCCTCCACCATACGTCTATCCGTCGCCTCCTCCGCCACCAACATATGTGTATCCGTCGCCTCCTCCGCCACCATCATACGTGTACCCGTCGCCTCCTCCGCCACCGTCATATGTGTATCCTCCGCCTCTTCCGTCACCATCATATGTGTATCCTCCGTCTCCGTGTTAACTTCAATCGCCGGTGCATGACTAAAGCTTCTTTTGACAAAATGGGATGCAATAGTTGAAAGTTGAAACTGCCATCTTTTAGTTATTGTGTTCTACGTCATGTAACGCTAGTGTTCACCAATTTGTTCTTGTTTTCACTATTGTTTTTTTATGATTAATTTTCAAATTGAATGAGCTTTTAATTGTTTCTGTAATAAGGACAAATTTAGTTAAATGAAAAATTGAAGGAGAGATATATGTGTAATTAATTTGGCCTTCCGGGAAGACAAATTTATGAATATCAAGTCTATCTCCAATGTATTTTTTTAATTTTTTATTCTAAAATAAAAAAAATGTATAGCATTCTTCTATCAATGTATCTCTAAAATAGAAATTTTTTTCTAAAATAGAAAAAAAATAGCAATTCTCCACTTTTTCCTATATATATAGAAGAAAAAATAACTTTCTCTATTTTAGAGGTAGAAATAGGGTATGTTGGAATATATTTTATTCTAAAATAGAGTTTAAAAGAAAAAATAGAGGTGAATTGGATATGCTTAAGAACATCTTTATTGATGAGATACCATTTTTTAATATATTTTAAGTTGAGAGTCTCACCACAAAATACTATTTCCATTGGTTAGATACCCATTGAGTATCTAATCGCTAAAATATTAATATTTTTAGTGTTATTTAATTTTAAACAATTATGTTAATTTTCATTAATACTTTTAAACACATCAATTTACATCTTAAAATGTAATTTTAATTTTAGAAGAGAATTTTAAGAAATGACACTTTTGAGATGTCACTTTTCAATATATCATTATTTTAAGATCTTTTCAAAAATACCACTAATAATATATCATTTACTCAAAATATCAATTATGTTTGGGTTAATTATGTTATATTTGAA